AATGATAATATATATGTTTGAATATACGTTCGTGGGGATGTAAATTCGTGGGTCAGGGTTACCCAAGAAAGCCACGAACATTGGTCCCCCACGAACAAACGAGGGTCGTTCAAAAATTACGCGGACTGTGCTATTATTTACTCTTTCAGACGTCATATAGTTATAAAATTTCACAGAAATATGTATCTTAAAGATTCCAATAAATTTTGGGCAAATTTTCTGTATTTTAAAAAAATTCTACTAAAATTATCGGTATGTTGATATCGTTGATGGAGAGGTACGGCGCACGACAAAAAAATTGAAGCAAAAGCATGCGGATTCAAAAATTTAACTCATTGATTTTCTAAAATTCGCAATATTTTTCAACAATTTTCTCAAATGTATCTTTAAATTGTTCTATTATTATGTACTTAGATTTCGGACGTAATATTTGAAGTACTAACAGAAATATAGTGATTTTTCTTTTTGTTGTGTTTGATTAAACGACTTTAACTCATTAAAACAAATTTAAGAGTTTGTTTAAACGAATTTAAATTATTATAACAAAATTAAGATTTCGTTTAAACGAATTTAAACTGTTATATATGTAACAATTACTTGTATTCAATATAATGAATTCAATAAACCTGTTATAACAAATAAAATTCGTTATAACAAATTCCAAAAATTTTAAAGCGAATTGAATTAAATTCGACAATTTTTCAAATCAATTTCAAAATATTTTTGATAGATCCTAAATTGACTTTAAGAGGGCATAAATCATGAAAAAAAATTAACATAATATTCAGCCATTTGTAAATTGATCTAGGAAAGAAATTTTGAAAAAAGTATTATTATACCGGTACTAAACCAAGAGTCTTCAAATTAATTCAACGGTTAAGTTATAATAATATTAAAGTTTTCTTAAATTTAGGCAAATTTTTCCATGCTGCAAGAATGTTAAAAATAAAATGATGTATAGTATTATTTTAATATATGTGTTTTTTTTTTACGTTCATTCTCTCTGTATATGTTTTTCCCTTATTAATATTATGTATAACAACTCTGATGAGCCAGTTGGTTAAAAAAGTAAAGACACTTGAAACTTTATTTAACTAGAATGTCAATTCCAGGTATGGACTAATAATAATCTTTAAACAAATTACCTTAGAATAGGATAAATAATAACTTTTAATACGATTTGGATAACTTTTTCCAGAAGAATAGAGGTGATCTTTTTTTACACACTAAATGTGTAAAATCAAATTTGATTTTTCAGAAGTGTAAGGACTGATCAGAAATTTAAAAAAAGATTGTTTAATAACAGATAAGTTAATTTAATTTTAATGACATCAGGTAAGGAATATATTCATAATTATAGATCTTTTTTATTAAAAAAATTAATTAAGAAGCATATGAAAAACGTAATTTTACTTCTGATAAGCAAGATTTAAATGGATGGGTATTTTTTTCAACTTTTCACAAGATCTCGAATTGTAATTATCATCAATCGCAATTGCGTCAAATATATTCATCTTGAGTTTAAGGTCAAAGTGGCATTGAGAAGATAACATAGAAACTGAAATGTACTTGACATAATATTTACTGAATGATAAAAGCTTAACTGATATTTGTTTCAGTACATTTTGATTTAACCCATTACTTGGCAATGTATCTAAGGACAGATCTTAATATATCTTACCATAAATCTTGAATATATATATAAACAATGTCTATGTTTAAATAAGTAAAAGTTGTCATGCAATGTGTTAATACTTTAAAAGTTTTATTTAAGAGAAGTAAATAAGAAGATATTTGAACTTGTTAGAAAGTCTGTAAATGTTAATTTAAAAATACATTTATTTGATACATTAAATTGTAAGAATCATTTACAACCAAATAAGTCGAAAAATACTTCACCCAGTCAGCCTTTTTTGTTGAAGTACTCGTTCTTAATATTGAAGTAAATAACAAACTTTTGGTAAATAAGCAAAACATTATTAAAAAGGTGTCAACCGTCAAAAACCTTTGATATGTTTACCAACTAAAGATTGTGTATATTAGATATTTTTTCTATAAATGTTAGGAATGCGAGTCAAATTTCTTAAAATGTATCTAACAAAACATTCCAATGTCCTGACATATATACAGGTAGCCATTAGACCACAGTTTATTTCCTCTGGAAGGCAAACTTTCAGATTCCAGACGAACATCGTATTTAGTTTAAGGCTTGACAAATTACATTTGGTGTGTCTTCTAAGGAAAGCGAACGTGGCATACACACGTACTAATGATGAAAACAATATTCTTCATCGTTAATAAGAAACAAAATAAATTCTACAGTCGTAATAAAGAATAATTCAAACTTTGTTTTAATCATTGTCTTAGTTCGAAAAATCTTACTTAAACATAAAGTAAAATCTATCCTTTGTTACTATATATTGGAAATCTGAATTTTATTTCGAAAAGAAGGAATTGCGTTGAATGAATCGCAATAAGCATATACTTATTATATAGAGAGTTAAGCCGTATTTAATTCATTCTAAGAAATCTTTCTGCAAAGATTTATCAACTTTTATGGAAAAAAGTAAACCAACTTCTATCTTCAAATTTAAAAAAAAAAAAGATCCCAACTTGATGAAGATTCAAGAAATGGAACATTTTTTAAAAAGGTTTAAGTATGCAAGACTTGTGGTATGAAATGAATGCAGTATCATAAAGTCCCATGTGAAATAGAAGCAGAGAACCTATCCATTCATATTTTATTTTTCTCTCAGAAAAATATCAAAATGTGAAGAAATGTATGAATCATGGAACTCTTACATAAAAATGTTCATGTATTTATGAAGTGATAGTTGTTTTTAATAAATATCAAGGAAACTCACTTTGCTGACCATTATATACAGAATGGCACCGCGTTAGATGAAAATACCAAATACCGTTAAAACAGACATTTTTAGCGATAAACAAATTTAAATTTTAGCAAGAAATACTTTTAGCAGTTTGTTGATGCATGGAAAGACAACGGTAACCTTCAATTCGGAATGGATTCAATGCAATGATCAACTCTATACATTACTCTCTTGTAAAATGCCAAAATTGAGTCCTCGCTTAAAATATCTACTACTACATTACTTTAAACCATTATAATTTATGCATCCTTCAAGTTAGATGTCCTTCTACTCACATTATCCAGTTTACAGTCCATGTCCTCTTGGTTCATACTGTTAACTGTGTACACCATCTTGTATTTACCAAAGCTAGAAGGAGAAGGCAAATTTCTGAAATCATCTTCATCAGAAGAAAATGCAGTAACATCCGTCTCAATGGAAGAGCATTCATCGCTCATGATTTTGTTTATGGTTTAAATTCCTCCAATGTATATATTGAAACAAAACGATAGAGTCGAAAGTAAAGAATTAAATAATCTGACTTTCACTTGGCTTTCACTTTATTTGTTTTCAAAATGTATCTAAGTATCAAACTTGGTACTTATTGGCTTAGAATCATCAAACTTTGTCAGTTGATGCATCTTGGGTTTTCGGGGAATGCAAACCAAAAATTACATCACTTGACCTACTTTTGACATTTTATGGCTATATTTTCTTATCTCGAGTACTAATTGACCTAGAATTGATAAACTTTGTCAGTTGGGGCGTCTTTGGTTTTCAGAGAATGTCGAACAAGAAGTAGGTCATAGTGACCTACTTTTGAATATCTCAGGTACTTATTGGCTTAGAATCATCAAACTTTGTCAGTTGATGTAAGTTGGGTTTTAAGAAATTCGTCTAGTAAAAATTAGGTCACAGTGACTTACCTTTTATTTTTTATGGATATATTTAAGTATCTTGGGTACTCATTGGCTTAGAATCAGCAAACTTTGTCAGTTGATGCATCTGGTTTTCAGGGAATGTAGACAAAAAAGTAGGTCACAGTGACCTACTTTTAAATATCTCGAATACTTATTGGCTTAGAATCTTCAATCTTTGTGTATTAATGCATCTTGAGTCCTCAGAAAACTTCAAGCTTAAATAGGTCACTGTGACCTACTTATGGTTTTTTAGCTCACCTGAGCCGAAGGCTCAAGTGAGCTTTTCTGATCACATTTTGTCCGGCGTCTGTGTGTCCAGCTGTCTGTCTGTCCGTCTGTCTGTAAACTTTTCACATTTTCATCTTCATCTCAAGAACCGCTGGGCCAATTTCAACCAAACTTGCCACAAAGCATCCTTGGGTGAAGGGGATTCAAGTTTGTTCAAATTAAGGGCCACGTCCTCATTCAAGGGGAGATAATTGGGAATTAATGAAAATTTGCTGGTATGCTTTAAAAATCTTCTTCTCAAGAACCACTGTGCCAGGAAAGATGAAACTTATGGGAAAACATCCTCAGGTTGTGTAGATTCAAATTTGTTTGAATCATGACCCCGGGGGGTAGGGCAGGGCCACAATGGCTGACCAAAGTTTTACATAGAAATACATAGGAAAATTCTTTAAGAATCTTCTTCTAAAGAATAGCAAAGCCATAATTGATCATATTTATATGGAAGCATCCTCAGGTAGTGTAGATTCAAGTTTGTTCAAATCATGACCCCCGGGGTAGGGCGGGGCCACAGTGGCGGATCAAAGTTTTACATAGAAATATATAGGAAAATTTTTTAAAAATCATCTTCTTGAGAATCGCAAAGCCATGATTGGTCATGGGACTACTTTTGGGTTTAAAATTTTCAATAATAAACTAATTTCTGCTTTTTTCCTAGCCACAGTGCACAGGTGAGCAAAGTGGCCCATGGGCCTCTTGTTATAGGTTTATTAAAATATCTTCAGTTCTAATTGCCTAAGAATCATCAAACTTTGTCAGTAGATGCAACTTGGGTCTTACGATACTTAGAGTTAGAGGCATCAAATAGAAGTGATAGATTGTACAATTTATCAGAAGAGCGATTCAAGGCCCTTGGGCCTCTTGTTATTTGTATAATGGTTTTGTTGAAAAGTTCTTAAAATATAATGTTGATAATTTTTAAAAGGATTCCTTTCAAAAGATCCTACAGGAGTTGTCGTTGAGATTGTTTATGGACCAACGATTACATGAGAAGCGGCGGGTGCTGCAGATGTATTGCCTTGTATGCAGACTCCTACTTCAGGACTTTGATGGTGGATTGGGTGGTTGCTTTGTCTACATATTCAGAGAAATTCTCTATCGTCTAGTTTATCTGATACAAGAAATGAGGAAACAGGAATGGTAAAATTTTATATCTTCATCAGTTATCATTGTACCAGAGTAGATAAATACATGTATAATACAAGTTGTTCAAACTGGATATACCCATTCCATGAAAATTATACCATATCAGACAGAATCTGGAGGTCTGTACTCCTGTGTGTTAAACAAACAAACTTAATGTAGAGTTATGATAAGGGAGGGTGCCTCATCCAAAATTGTGAATTTCATGCCCACTGGTTCAAGGTTTGGGTGTTAAGGTTGGGCTCTATTCCTTACATAGCGAAAATGCATTAATTCATTGAAAACTTTTCTGCTCCTGGTTATTAAACACACTAACTACATACATAGTTATGATGAGCAAGGATACCTCTTTTTAAATTTTGAATTTATGACCTTAGGGTCGCGGTTCTGGAGTTATGGTGGGGCTCTGTAATCTGATTATATAGTAAAAATGCGTTAATTCTTGAGAATCATCTCTGAGGGTTCTCCATGGTCCCATTTACATGGTTTGAAATTGCATTTGCACCATCAGTCAAACACATCTATCGTAATCATGGGATTTTGTAATGTTGAAAAATTAACAATTAAACCACCAAACTGATTTTATGACTCGGTCTAAACAGCTCAAGTATTTTTTTTTATTCACAAGTGTTAAGATATTTTACTCTTCATACTGATGATTGAAAATATAGATGTTAGCATGATTGTGTGACTACTTACCAAAATTTCCTTCGTCCTTTAATGAACACTATATAATTAATTCTTTTTACACTTTATTTATTCAATATTGATTTATTATGTTCCCCAAACGAAGTTGGGGAACATATTGTTTTTACTCTGTTTCTTATTAAGGTCTTCCGTCTTCACGGAAGACCTTATAGTGATTCTACTGTTTCTTATTATTATTATTAATTTTTTTGACAAAAATTTGTGCAGTCGATTTCTCGAAAACTATTCGGCGGTTTTCGATGAAACTTTCACAAAATATGAGTCATAATATGAACTTTGTTCATCATAAACAAAATTTGGAAAATTCGCCTTTGGTGCCAAGTTATGGACAATTTTCTGATTTTAAAATGCGATTTTGTCGCGCAATTTTATTGAAAATGGCTGAGGATATGAGCTGGAAACTTATTGGAGATGATAGATCATGACTTTGTGGTTTGCAGAATCGATATTTCGTGCGTCGTCAGTACTTCCGGCCGTTACGAGATGCAAATTTTAAAAAATCGTTTTTTCTAACTTTTTTGTTTTTCAACATTTTTCATTTATTTTTCGTATTTTAATAGAAACCCTTCTTATTATGCTTACTATATAATTTGTTTGAATGCTGAAAAATCTAAACTTTAGATATTAGGATTCAAAAATCTGAAGTGGGCCCAAAATGGCGGCTGTCTCTGTCAACGCCGACATTTCGCAATAGTGGTTTATGGAGGCAGCCGAGCGTTTGCTTGAACGAAAGTAACATTAGGATAAATGAAATGTAAAGGAATTCTTGGATTGTCACGTCGTAGTTACGTTGCAGTTCTGTGTCAAACTAACGTCTTCTTTAATTGGTTTTGGCTGGTTCTCAAAGTAGAAAAAGAAAAGACTAAATGTGCAAATGAAATTCGATACCGAATATTCTTGTACACCACGAAAAAAAAGATCTTAAATCATACTTATAAATAATACTTTCTCAAAAAGAAAATCAATAATATCAGTATCAATATCAAGTATAAATCTTAACCACTGCTTTTTATGCACACTTGTGTCATATTAAACTTATAAATAAGAAAAAATAATAAGAAAGTGATTTTTTTAAAGATCGCTTCATGTATTTTATTTTAGCATTTTGGTGTCAAAGACCTGATTCAAGTTATTGAGCATAAATGATATCTGATTCCTTGACCGTCGTACCTGTAAGGCGAGCCATGTTTTTCGGCGAAACGTTTCAACCTTTTTTTCGATGAACTAATCGGGATAGTTCACTTTGGGAAAAACAAGAAATTGAAAAAAAAGTTAAAAATTTATAACCGTTTCATCGCTTTACATGCATATATACAAAATGAAATTTGTATTTGTGTTAAATATACTTTCTAAACTTCGAAACGTAGGCTATGAGAACGTTCTTTTTTTAAATTTCATTGAAGCTATCACACCTGTTTAAGGGACTCCGACCCTCAGCTAGGAAGGACAACTCTTTAATCTATAATTTAATTCAAAAAGTCTTTAAATGAAGCTTGAGAATTAAATCTTTTCATGCAACAATTTTCATTATATGCCTCTCAATGATAATAATAATAATAAAATAATTTTTATAGGGTTAATAGAGACTCTTAAATGAATGCGAAATGTGTAATTTGTTTTAGAATTAAAGAAGCTAATCTCAAGAAATTCGCATTTAAAAAATTGAAGCGGTGTTCCAGATGGCGTAATGGTTAGCGCGTTGGATTTTCACGCGGTCGACCCGGGTTCGATCCCCCGTGTGACTGATATTTTTTTATGACTTTTTCAGCTAGATTTTTCGTTTTTTTATTTCAGAATCGGACGGAAGACCTCTCGTTGCTTGCAACGAGATCGTTTCTAGTTATTATTATTATTATTATTTTTCTTCTCGGGAAAATTTTGTCCGCGAATGATCTTGTAAAGTACACATCCGATTAAGGGGAAACCTTTTTAGGGTAAGTAGGCATGTTATGTAGATTTGCAGAATCAAGGTCATTTTGCGCGCACGTGCTTGCAAGAGCGCGCACGTGCAAAACTTGAAATGACAAATATATAATGGATATAACCGTAACTTTTCTATTTTTAGACGAAATGTTTTGAAACTCATAATATAAGGATATATGAGTAGTATGCACAAGATGACATGGTCAAAATAGCAAGATCGCACGTGCAAGCACGTGCGCTTCGCTCTGATTGGCTGAAACTAAAGTCTCAATATCTTTCTTGTTTTTTGATAAAATCATTTGAAATTTTGAACATAGTCATACATTAGGGAGATCTACAGCCCGTAATAAAAGAAATATCATGAAAGCATGTGCATGCACATGTGCTTGCAAGAGCTCGCACGTGCAACACGAGAAATGTCCAATATAATTGATACAGACGTAACTATTTAAATTATTGATGATATGCTTTAAAACTCATATTAGAAGTATATATTAGAAGCATAGACAAGATGACATGGTCAAAAAAGCAAGATCTCACGCGCATGCACGTGCGCTTTGCTCTGATTGGCTGAAACTAAAGTCTCAATATCTTTCTTGTTTTTTGACGAAATCCTTTGAAATTTTAAATATAGGCATGTATTAGGATATCCTACAATAAGATATATAGCAATTATTTTGAAAACGCGTGCATGCACGTGCGCTGCAATCTGATTGGCTTATGCTTAAAATAGCTATAACTCCCTTGGTTTTCAACCAAACAGGATGGGATTTGGAACATGGATAGATATAATGGACTTCTACAAGAAGACATGGTCACCATGCACATGCATACACATGCATGTACGTGCGCTGCAATCTGATTGGCTGAATCTTTGAACAGCTATAACTCCCTTGGTTTTCAACCAAACGGGGTGGGATTTAGAACATAGATAGATGTAATGGACTTCTACAAGAAAGTATGGTCGCCATGCTTATGTGAGCATGTGCGTGCACGTGAAATTAGTTAAATCAAAAATACACTTGAATTAGCGTATTTTTTAATACGTTTGGATTAAATACTTTGATATTTAGTATATTAAAATCTATAGATTGTAAAGACAAGATTGTGTGGTCATTACGCACATGCATTCACATGCGCACATGTGCAATGCTAAAATTTGAATGAAATTGGTACACTTCTGGGTAAACGTTGTTAAAGTCTCAAATGCGTAGAGTCTGTCTTATTTAATGAAGCTTATAGGGAATATGGCACCAAAAGGGAGTTGGGGAGCGTTTGGGGAACATATGTAACGGTCCCCGTTACAATTAGCACTAGTTGCTTTTATTATTAAATTTATCAATCAATTTTCAAAATAATAAATGTCATTTGTATGTTAAACTAATGATTCATGGGTTGTGTCATAAACTGTGATTCTTAATTTATTTCATGGTTCCTTTGCAAATTTGGTCGTGAAATAACCGTGAATATTAGCACTTCGCAAAAGCCTTAATTTGTGCCACAATTAAATTTGAAATGATGGAGAACCCTGTTTTCCTCTTCTCCTGGGTGAACTGAAAAGGTGATGAGCTACCTACATAGTCATGATGAACAAGGGACCTTCCAGAATTTTGAATTTCAAGACTTCTGGGTCAGGGGTACTGTAAAGGGTGGGGAGGGGGCTTTTATGATTATGTACTGAAAATAAATTAATGCTTTAAAATTTGCTCATTGGTATTAATCAAACATTTAACATGAGCAAGGATACCTTCTCTAAAATTGTGAAATGAATAGCCTCTGGGTCATGAGTTCCTGTGGGGTGGGGGCACTACTGATTATTGCTGAATATGACTGATTAGTTGAAATGCATTTTTATGTTCACCTACTCTGCCTATAGGTATGAAGTAACCTAGCTAAGCATGCTAAGTGTATAGTTATGGTGACCAATGGTATCTCTATCAAAATTGTGAATATCATGACCTCAGCTTTAAACCACAAACCAAATTCAATTGTTGGAAAGTTGATACATCAGATGTTCAGGTGACCTATAAGGCCCAAGGGCCTCTTGTTCTTGATCAGATATTTGGAATTCTGGAAAATTCATAACTGTCCTAACCT